AAAGTTAATTATTGTAATTAATATGCAACATTATTAACATTATTGCTTGCTTAATTGTGGATTATATGTCTGCATCCACAAATCTTTTTTTGGACTAAATTAATGTCTGGCTAGTACTTTTACTTATGTAGTATTTCATCAGGGTAAATGTATATTAACTCAGTATTTCTGTACTTTGTTTAACACTGATGAACTCTAGGCATGAGTGTGCATGACATAGCTATCACACTTTTCTATGAAGCTAAAGTTAATAAATCAAAAGCTGTTGGCTGCTCTGAGGCTCGAGGACAGACAGGTGAGGGAGTGACCTGGCCCCAATCCAGCTGGAAATTCCCTTGTTTTGTTTACATGTTGTGCCAAGGACAATTCGGGAGGTATTTCAACCTCTTCTTAAACAACAACAAAGAAGGAGGAAGTTCTAGCTTTTTTTGGCCCTGCTATTAAAGGGGCCCAGCATATGCTCTGTTATTCAGCTAAACACAAACTGATCACGCTTTTGAAGGTGAGCCAGGTGTGGTCAAGTTCTGTTTGAAGCTCTATTGTATGCCGGTAACAAATGCTTAAATATCCCTTCAGACAGATAGGAAAAGTCAAACATTTTTTAACTGTCCTGGGATGAATTCAATTCAGTTCAACAAAAGTTGTTTTTGCACAATGCTCTGACAGAAAGAACGTAGTATGTTCAGTTCTTGGCCAGTACTTGTCAGACAATCTGTGAACACACTGCTTTATCTCTCGGTTGCATGTTTTGCTCTTATACTTCCTGTACATTCATGTCTGCACATATCTCAGCTCTTCACTTAATCTGATATGTAGAGTTTCATAAGTTTCAGGCAGGATCACTTACAATGACATATCTGTTTGCTATAAATGTCACCCGCCAGGCCTCGTGATTTTTCAGAAACAATAATCTTGTTTAAAGGTGAAATGTGTAATTTCTGTGCACTAGCATCACTGAATGGAAATGCAAAAATAATGATTGTTTTCTCAGCTGTTACAGAAAGCTAAAATCCTAATTGAATGTATGTAATCCTCCTTTGCTTGCTTTGATAGTATTTTTATATATTTTTTATATACTATTATGACATTTATTAATATTTTGAATAAACTTTTATTCTTATAATTTTTGCAATTTTGTGCTTTTTATTTTTTATTAGTATAACAGTACATTGACTGAACAGCTAAAAGAGAACCGGTGATGTGATGTGCACGAGCAGAGCAGTTGGACTGAGTCTCGTCCTGCTGGGACACGGCATCACAGTATGGTAAGGGGCATAACATTTCCGTCACACACTTGAGGCATTCGGCCAATCACAACGCACTGGATAGCTGGCCAATCAGAGCACACCTCGCTTTTTTAGAACGATGAGCTTTGTAAAAATCGACACGTTTCAGAAAGGCGGGCATAGAGGAGAAACAATAATGTACATTATATGGAAAATAATGTGTTTTTTTAACATTAAACTGCATAAACACATTGCATTACACCAAATACACAACATAATGTTCTTTTTAGCAATGTCATATGACCCCTTTAATGCAGCAGAACAGGTTTAGGGAACAACCCCAATTTCTCATAGTTTCCAACCCGAAAGACCCCCAAACCCATGAAACCCACAGTTACTCAAATGAAAAATTAGGGAAAGTTCAGTGTCCATGTAATGTTACACAGAACGTTTTACACATCCTCCCTCCTACAAGGTGGTGTCAGTCCCAGACAGAAGTGGCTTTACATTTGGTTGTGCTCCATTATAATAGTACCTAAGGGATTTTTTTGCCAACAAATAGGCTAATATTTTTAGATAAGTACCCACACCCGCCCATCTAATCTTTAACCACCCATTAACCGACAACCAATGCCTTTCAATGGCCTAGGACCATTAAGCAACATTAAAGAGACAGCTCGCCCAAAAATAAAAACATTCTGTCATCATTTACTCACCCTCCACTTGTTCCAAACCTGTATGAGTTTCTTTTGTCTGTTGAGCACAAAAGAATATATTTTAAAGTTGTTGGTGACCAAAAAATTGGTGGTAGCCATTGACTTCCATAATATTTTTATCCAGTCAGTGGCTACCACAAACTCTTTGGTTACCAAGATTCTTTTCTAAATATCTTCTTTTGAAACTCGTACAGGTGAGTAAATGATGACTAAGTTTTCATTTTAGGATGAACTATCCTTTAAGGCAAGATACCACAGGTAAATAGGGTAAACATTTTAACTACCGTTTTATAGCTTAAACTTTTTAGACTACAAAGAGCCTTTTATGCAATTCGAAGGTTCTCCAAATGAACAATTAGAAAAACCTTCATTTTTAAGAGCATAAATCACCATACTTCCCCAGTTAGGTTGAGGCAGTTGCTTTGTATTACAAGCTTCTTGAAATTTTTTATTTTGTTGACATATATTGTAGTTTGTACAGAGGGGATTTTGGATATCTATTTTTATTATTATGTAAATCAGAAAATGATGGAAGCCTGTTTCCAACAGTGAATAAAAAATGTAAAAGGTAATTGCAAGGTTTTATCTCACAATTCTAACTTTTTTTGCACAATTGGGAGTTTACTTTACATCTCACAGTTCTGACTTTTTTCTCAGATTTGCATAATACAAACTCGCAATTCTGAGGGAAAAAGTCAAAATTGCAAGATATAAACTCGCACTTCTGAGAAAAGTCAGAATTGTGACTTTATAACACACAATTGCGAGTTCATATCTCTCAATTCTGAGAAAAAAGTTAGAATTGCGCATTTGTATTATGCAATTCTGAGGAAAAAGTCTGAATTGTGAGATGATAACTTGCAATTACTTTTTTATTTTTTATTCAGGGGCTTCAACAGACAGCAAACACTGTCAACAGCTAGAAAAGAAAATCACCATGTTTTTAAGAAATAAAATGTATATTATAAATCATGACACATGAACAATTTCCTCTGTAAAATCCTTCAGAATATACTGTTGATAGGAATAAAACTGGTAAGTTTGCTGTAAATAAGTGCTACAGAAGTGAAGATTTCTGGCTTGTTGCATGAGAAGAAACTCATTTCTCAATGTATTGTAATTGTAATAAAAGTGTAATAAAATTAACACTTAAATGTGTATTTAACATATTTTCTTTCCACTAGACTCAAAGAGGAAAATTATGGAAGCGAAATAGCCCAAAATCAAAAAATAGACCAGTGCATTACATTTTTGTTTTGTTTTATGCCTATAGTGTCTTGCTTCAACAGATGTAACACTTAATTGTTCACTTGACATCAAGCTACAAATTCTCAAACTCTCTTGACCTTCGACCAGATCCTTTTGCTTTCTGCTCACTCATCCATGGTTTCCATCTGAACGTCACACAGTCATACATTATTAACACAGACGCTCCCCATAGCAATTGTACATGGAGGCAGGGGATTTTACATTCATTTTGTTATGACTAACCCTGTATTTTAAGTCAGACATGTGCCTTTTGTGGTCAAATTTATTTTTGGTGGTAACATTTACCCCACTTCCTTGCTAACTGGCGCATTCATTGACTTGCTAGTATTAACCGGTTTTGTCTGCACACAGTCTGAGCAGGGTGAGAAAATGAAGTGAATTTGTGGCCAAAGTAGGCCTATATGATTTGTTTACAGGCTAAGTAACCAGACTGTATGCAAGAAAGTGATTGTAAATTTACAAGACTAACATGCTGGATGGAAGTGCATCTCTATATCTAGAAATTCTAAAGCAAAGGTGACTATAGGCAGAGGTTAAGAGTGGATTGTAAAACAGGGTGCTACGGTATACGGTGTGTACGGTGCTTTCCAGAGTGAACCAGCCCATCTGTGGCTCACCGTCCACTTCCTTATCATGAATTAGCAGAAATAATCACACCTGCAATTCCACATTTAGCACTTCCTCATGTCAAAATTAGCAAAATGAAGGATACAAGATAAACTGGAATTAATTGGGACTCACTTTGCATATTCAAACGGTAGATGACATTTCAGTAATCTAAATTTTAGTGAGGAATGTATTTAGAAAGTTAATACAATGCGGCTGGTTTATGCAATGCATGCATATGTGTGTCTACACACACACACACACATATATATATATATATAGCTATATAGCATTTCTTTTAAAACAATTTTTTTTGTATGTGCATATATATATATGTTATTACAACTAAAATATATATACAGTTTAACTCTATTTTTCAGATCTAACTTTTCATAATAATTGCATTGTTTTCTAACCAACTGGTTCTAAAGTGAATGTTATTTTTTGGGAAAATGTTTTGCTGGAAAATTTATCTTTAAGAATATTATTTTATTTTATTGTATTACTTTATTTTTTATTTTAATAATTTTATATTATTTAATTTAATACGTAATATTAAAAAATAGAATTACTTAAAATGTAATTATTAGTGTTATGCACTACTGTTCTAGCTTGTCTACTCATTTACATATTGTCAATATTTTAAAAAATCCATCTAAAAATTTTATGTTAATTAGTTATAACTTCCTGGTGCTAGTTACAATAGAATTTTGTAACTGCTGGAAGTAAGAGTAAGAAAAACAAATACATACACACTATATTAAAAATAATTAGGCCTGTCTTATCAATAGTTCATGCAAATACGCGGTGTTAAATCTGAACATCTACATACAAAGACCCTTGGATATTTTTAGCAAGCAGTTGTAACCTTTACTGCCTGCACTTTGTATAGGGGGTATTGGAAAAACAACTTCCTGTGTAATCAGGAAACTCCCCCTCTTGGTGTGTGTGTGTGTGTGAGTGGGTGGGTGGTACAGAAGTAGGTTAAAACAATGTGAGCAAGAATAATTTCCCTAAAGCTGACCTGCTAAAGGTCCCAAATTCATCTGTAATGCCAAGGGAAATTCCTCCAAAAAAGTCATGAGTTGCAGCTCATTTCATTGAGAACAATCTGAATGAACTGAGGTCTCTCATTCATTAAAAAAAATCACGAATGACCTCATTCATGTCTAATATCTAAATAGAAATGGTAAAAGGTCACTGAGAGTGTGAATTATCTCCGCAGTTGCTGGCAGTCGTGTCGGAGCTGGAACAGCAGGGTCTGAACATCCTGGTCCTTGGCAGGAAGCACATGCTACAACCTTCCCGGAACTGGGACAGACAAAACATGAGCAAGATCAAGCAGAAAGCCCACTGCTTCTTCACTGAGAACATGTTAGTATGACCCCACTTTCCTCAATCGCATACCGCACACGCTGTTCCAAAACCTAGTGAGCTGCCTACGTAGGCTGCATTTTAAGGGATCACAGGGATCTTTTATGGTCAAATTAGGTGCTTTGTGGAGACAACAATCCCATAATGCATTGTGGCCATTTCACCGAAACAATTCATGCAAGATTGGTATTGATGAAAATAGTTTAATCTGGAATATATTTCTTACTTTTATGCTAATTCGAGTATCATAATATAAGTTTAGCGACACATTAACATCCCACTCTATCAATTTTACATTTGTTCGCTACTGGACAGAGGTCTGGAATAATTATGATTTTTTTATGTTTTTAAAAGAAGTCTCTTATGGTCACCAAGGCTGCTTTTATTTGATCAAAAATAAAGTAAAAACAGTCATATTATTACAAAATAAAAGAACTGTTTTTTGTTTTAATATATTATGGAGTAAGTAAGAATTAAAAGAAAAATAGATAAATACATTTATTCAGTATGGATGCATTGATCAAAAGTGACAGTAAAGATATTTATAATGTTACAAAATATTTCTATTTTAAATAAATGCTGTTCGTTTGAACTTTGTATTCATCAGAGGATCCTGAAAAAATAAGGGTTCCACAAAAATATTAAGCAGCTAAAGGTTCTCAACATTTATAATAAGAACCATTAATAATTGAGCACAAATAATAATTGAACACCAATTCAGCATATTTGAATGATTTCTGAAGAATCATGTGAGACAGGAATAAATAAAAATAAATCAAATGGATTACAACTAAAATATCTTCAAACAGAAAACAATTCTTATAAATTGTAATATTTCACATTAATGCTTTTACTGTATTTTTATTGTATCTTGGTGAGCATAAGAGGCTTATTTCAGAAACATTAAAAATCCTAACATTTGAGCAGGTGTGTGTGTGTGTGTGTGTATACATAGAAGACCGCACTATGTTTTGTAACAGTTTTTGTAATGTGTTAGTGACGCATGTACTGTTCCCTTCCCTTCTCTGCGCAAGTCAATATAAACCCATAATGATTTCATTCACCAAGTATGAAAGGTATTTTTGATAAAGTGCACTGATTTTCTTGGATGGCTGCCACAGATCTGAGGATGACCCGTTTCTGCTGTATGCTGCTTTGCACTCTGGCCTTCACTGTAACTTTCTTAGTCGTGATCTGATGAGAGATCACAAAGCCTGTTTGTCAGACAGCGCAACCAGACGCCTCTTCTTCAAGTGGCAACGTGGCCATCAATTGGTGATCAGTCATTACGTCCCAGGAAAAAGAGTTCGATTTCAGGTAGGTTTATAAATGGAGAGATCTTATTTAATCAAGATTATTAGGATGACTGTTGGTTTTGCTCTGTGTTTTTCAGAGGATCTCGGCTTATGACACCATCGCTCAGATGTCTGGCAGCTCCTGGCACATTCCTTATGATGAGAATAGAGGAGATAGAGCCACATATGAAGTTCCTCAGAAATGGCTCTGCCTCACTCAAGACCATTGAGGCTGGAGTTACTACTAGTGTGCTTGCTGAGAAATATCAAATAAATAATGCTTTGCAAAATGTCCAATTGTGTTTCCTCTACCGCTCATATATATATATATATATATATATATATATATATATATA